TCGTTAATGAAGTGGCGGTTTCCGAGGTCCCACCACTTGTAGTTGCCCCGCTCCAATAGGTAATGACGTCGGTGGAGGAGCCTGCTATGGTGACCGACATCTCACGGGAGGTGTCGGAAGAACCGCTTTTGAATGTAGTTCAGCGGCGTAAGAGATCTAGCGTATCTCACGTAGCCGAAAGGATGAAGAAAAAACCGAACACCGGCGCTGATAAGGATAAGGAGGAAGAGCCTGAGATCATCTTGAGGGACTCATTCCTCAAAGTTAACGAGAAGAAAGCAGCCGAGCTGACGCTACCAGAGGGAGTATTTGATCCCTGGTTCTCGATGTTTCAGACGGTTGCCGAACCAAAGCTCACCATTAATCACCGGGTCCCCACTGAAGCGGTGAAGGCCGCTAAAGTTCCGTTGATGTCGTGGGACCCGAAAACTCACGCCGGGATCGCGTCTTTGCCTGATGACCAGAAATTCAGTTACGCCCGAGGCTGCTTGGGACGGACACTGGTCAGCTTTATAGCGGCCGAGGACAGTTACCGAAGTAGAGCTCATGAACTCGATGAGAAACAACACGAGCTAAGTCTGAAGGAAGGTGCCATAGCTTCTCTGGAAGATGAGAAATCTCGCTATGAGGCGGCCTTGTCAAAGAAGGATGCTGAGCTGCAGGCGACACTGATCGAGGTGAACGCCCTCAAAACCGAGAAAGAGAACTTACTGTTAGCCCATGATCTTGCATCGGTTGAGTTGGCCAAAGTTGCTGAGGTGGCCAAGGAAAAGGACGAGCAGCTCATGAAGTTAAGGGCGGAGCTCCAAGCTGTGCGGAAGGATCGATCTGATAAGGATGCCGAACTGATCCGAAGTCGTGAAGCTCATGAAGTGGCTATAACCAAGCTTCATCAAGAAATGGCTGTCGCCGCTGAGCTCAAATTCCAAGAGGGTATTGAAATCGGCAAGAGATCGGTAGCCGAGCCCAGCCACGCAGCTGACGCCGGCGCGATAACAGAATGGGAGCTGGAGTTAAACGCCGCCTTGGCCTTACGGTGGGTAATAAACAGGGTTGATAGCGGCGTATACACCATGGATGAATTGCGCATTTATCTGCTTCACAAGATGGAGAAGCATGGCTTCAATCCTGAGATGAAGAATGCCCATATCCCGGCCGACCAGGACGAGAGAGACTTTGATGACCGACTTCTAAAGCAGAAGGAAAGTCGGATGTTGGAGCTGGACATGGTGCCCTTGTCGGAGGAGCGAAAGGCGAAAATCAGGTGGTCATTTATTGACATGGTCCTTGAAGTGGAGAAGGCCAAGAAGCCTGAAATGGCCAACATATGCGTGGAGACAATCGCTGAGGCCTTTGTCACTGAAACATTTGAGGGCCTATCAGATGAGGAGCTTTTAAGCGCGATTGTTGGTTATGCTGCGCGCAAGGTGGCAGAGGATGATGCCAAAGCTAAGGGATGGGTGACCGACCTAGTCCCTTCCGACGACGACCGGGTCTTGCATGAAGATGATGACGTCGTTATGATTAAAGAAAGTGACGTCGTCCGAGCATTGGAAGAAAAGGAGGAGGATGTCATTCAGCGCTTGAGCCAAAGGTTGATTGAACATATGGATGGTGTTGAGAAGGACAAGGCCGAGACGGAAAACCCTCAACTCCCCAATGCAGGAAAGGCGTCGTCGTCGGGGACCAAGGAAAATTGATGTTTTTAACTTGTTTTGTCGTTTGCTTTTGTTGGGAATGTATTGACATTTTAGTTTTGAAATGGAATATGAATGTCTAATGAATGGAATGTTTTTTATGAATGCTTTATTGTGAACAAGTCAGAGTATGTCGGAAAAAGCGAATGAATGTTCGTCAAATTAAAGTTTCCGACACAATATTGATGATAATTTACACGGATTACTAACGTCGGTGTAACTTTATAGTCTTTCCGACATCAAATTTTTGGTTGTCATAAAAGACTTGCTTTTTATTGGAAATACTTATTGCGAGCTCATCAAATCAACGTTGGGATTTGACATTATAGAGCGTAAGCCTCCCCAAACCATCTTCAGGGCTTGGAAGTATCCGGCTTTGCTGCGTTTGGCTAGGTCATACCATCTTTAGGGTATGAAACAAGTTTAGCCTTGGCAACGAGGACCGATTTATTGTGGTCCGAGTGATCGAACAAATTACAGGGGTTCGTCACACAAACTTTATTGATAGCAAAACATGGTCCTTGTACAACAGTAGGACAAAAAATTTTTTACATGTCGGGGACAGAACCTTGGGCATCAGGTTTACTGGTAGTATTTCTTCAGATACGTCGTATGCCAGGGATATTGAAGGGGAACACCGTCTAACGTCTCAAGTCGGTAGGTGCCATTAGAGATTAGATGATTTACTTTAAAGGGTCCTTCCCACTTTGGTTGTAACGGGCCGACATTAGCGCCAGTGACTCTTTTCAGGACGAGATCTCCTTTGACAAACGAGCGTGGCTTGAGTCTTGAATTTATATATTTTTCGCTGCGTCGTTTATAAGCGGCATTGCGAACCTCGGCGTCAGCTCGTAATTCATCGACCAAATCGAGACTGGTTTGCAAGTTTGCTGGGTTGGTTTCTTCGTTGAAGTGAGTGATCCGATATGTCGGAGAGGAAAGTTCAACCGGTATCACAACTTCAGTTCCGTAAGCTAACGAAAACGGAGTTTCTCCAGTTGAGTTTCTCTTCGTCGTCCGATAAGACCAGAGGACATAAGGCAGTTCATCAGGCCATGATCCTTTTGCAGCTTCAAGTCGAGTTTTCAGGCCATTCTTGATAATCTTGTTTACGGCTTCTATCTGTCCATTAGCTTGTGGGTGGTAAGGTGACGAGAAGAAATGCTTGATGCCGTAATCATCACAAAAACTTTTAAATCGCTTGCCTTCAAACTGACGACCGTTGTCGGTTATAATGGAGTTGGGAATCCCAAATCGACAAACGATTGATTTCCATAAAAAATCCACCATTTTTTGC